GAGCATAGACTTAGTTTAGGTACTGTGAAACCCATGCTTCAGTGAACTGACTGAATAAGGGATTATGAAGTCTTTCTTAACCTCTCTAGCTTCAACATTGAATCTGTGCTTACTGGGCCCAAATCAGTAAATTCAGATTGAAGAGATGTTCCTTGCACCATTATCCCATGCTTTTAACATCCATTACCACACACTCCACATTCTGCTTGTAAACATTAGCAAAAGCAAGTTCTTTTGGAATGTGCTTTCTTCCTAGGGTACAATTTATACTTCACCTTTTGGGTCTAGAAGCAAAAATGGGTGGGAGGGATGGTGCTAGTAATATTCAGTAATGCTCTATAAGGCATTTACCTCAGACAATACCTCGGCTCTATCACAACTGAAATCTGACACTCATTAAGTTCAATTGGTTTAATCTCATCAGATGGGGAGGGGAGGGAAGGCCGGATTCCCAGTTTTGCTGAGGGGGCTGGATGCATGGCATTTACAGCCTTAGTCCCCAGCTTCTCGATTACCTGCTCATGTTTCCATTTGGGATCCCATTTCTCCACAATCAGTCTTCACTTAACTTCAGACATCATAGGAGGTTGAGATTTCAGTAGGTGTGGCAACTCACTCACTCATAAGATTTTGGGTTTGATGTTAAGCAATTAGTTCCAAAACATAAGGCTTTCCAGTAAGGTACAAATGGAAACTTTGAGGTCTTTTACTTGATGCTTGAGCTGTCAGTCAGTAGTTCTGATCTCATCTCTCTTTCACTACTTCGTCTATCAGTAAGTAGACCCCACCAACTTCCCTAAGCTCATTCTGACAAACTTGGAGAAGTGCCAAACATGACTACCCAGAGTGGTACTTCTCACTAAGACCTGATATACGCTTGGTGATATTTTAGGTACTAGTATTGCCACTTCAAGCCACAGATGAGCACAGTCCTTTTTATCAATGGATATAGAGCCATCAGCACCTCTAACCAATTTATAAAATCTATCTTTATGATTTTGCTTCCCTTGAGCCACTCTTGGTACTAAATGTCTTAGGCTGGTTTTTTTCAAAGAAGCAAAACCAGTGAATATATATTGTTATTGCTGTTATGTGCCATCGAGTTGCCTAAGATTCATAGTGACCCTATGTACAACAGCCCTAAACTCTGTTCTATCCTATGTCAATCTCACTGTCTCCAACACACCTACCCCCTTTACCCCAGTCACTGAATCAATCCAGCTCATCGAGGGTCTTCCTCTCCTGTGCTGTCCCTCCACCCTCCCAAGCATGATGTCCTTCTCCAAGGGCTGGTCCCTCCTGGCAACATGCCTAAAGTATGTCAGATGAAGCTTCAGAATCCTTTCCTCTAAGGAACAGCCTAGTTTAACCCTCTCTAGGATGAATTTGTTCGTTTCCTTAGCAGCCCATAGTATAAATGATACTCTTCTCCAACACCACAGTTCAAAGGCATCAATTCTCCTTCTATCATCCCTAGTCATTGTCCAGCTCTCTGATGCATAGCAAGTAATTGCAAAGACCATGGGCCTGTGTCAGGAGCACCTTAGTCTCCAGAATGACACCATTGCTCCTCAGTACTTTTCCATCGCAATACATCTCTTACTTTCCTGGCTGTTGGTAGGTACCAAGAGTGTTGATTTTGGAGCCAAGCAGACTAAAGTTAACAATCTCAGTCTCTTCACCATCCATCCTGATGCTGCCAATTGGTCCAGTGGTGACAATCTTTGTTTTCTTGATACTGAGCCTCAATCCATATTTAAGGCTGCAGTCCTCGACCTTCCATAGTAAGTACTTCAGGTCCTCCTCAGTCTCAGCAAGCAGGGTGTGTCATCTGCATAATGCAGATTGTTGATGAATCTTCCTCTAATCCTGATGCCACACTTCTCCTCATACAGCCCAGCCTCCCGGATAATCGGATCTACATACAGGCTAAAAAGGTATGGAGATAGGACGCATCCCTGGCATATACCCTTCCCAATTTTGAACCATGCAGTGTTTCCCTGTTCTGTTCTGATGACTGCCTCCTGATCCAAGTATAGGTTTCGCATTAGCATGATCAAGTGTTCTGGGATTCCCATTCTTCTGAGTCAGCCACAGTTTGTTGTGATCCACACAGTCAAACACCTTTACATAATAAATGAAACACAGATAACCATTACTCTGGTACTCCTTGCTTTCAGCCAAGATCCATCTAACATTAGCTACAATATCCCTAGTACCACAACCCCTTCTAAACCCAGCCTGCACTTCTGGCAGTTCTCTGCTGATGTGCTGTTCCAGTCGTTTTTGGATAATCTTCAGCAGAATCTTGCTTGCGTGTAATATCAATGATATTTGATAATTTCCACATTTGGATCACCTTTCTTTGGAATGGGAACAAATAAATATACATAAGAGATTTATCTGAAAGAAATTACTCACAAAGCAGTAGAAGTTGGCAAGTCCCAGGCCTATAGCTGTAACAGCTGATGAATCCAAGGTTGTCCAATAACCCAGGCCCTACTTGAAATGCCAAAGATGTAACAAAGCAGAAAGCAGATGAATGTTGAGATCAAACAAAAAGCCAGCTCCATGAGACTTCCTTATATATTTGATGCAGACCATACTCCCAATGAAACTACCCCTCAACTGATGGGCTGTCCACAGCAAATCCCACAAAAAACTGAATACACTACTTCAACTTTCATCAAAGGAGTTACGTCACAACTGCCAAACCAGGGAATCTGACACACAGCTAACCTGACACACAACCTTAATTATCTCGGCTTCCAACCATCACTACTTCCATGAACTCAGCTGTATCCCCCTAAAATGTGCTGACTTTGCTGAGTCATGATTCTCAATTAGTTTGCCAGTTATATTACTGTCCTCCAGGACAACATTCAGTTGTAAAGGGATTAGGGGTATAGTCTTTGCTACCTTTTATGCTCTGAAAGATAAAGAATGGGGGAGCAGAGAGAAATGGGAGCAAAGCAGTCCTTTGGATTCAGGGTCCCTGTGTTGAGAATTTCCGAGACCTAGGGAAGACTGATGATAAGATACATGAAGATCCCCAAACAACATGAGACCAAATTTATTTTACATGCTTTTAAGAGTTTGGAAGCTAATACTAAAAAAAACTTTTTCAGTTTGATTAATGAAATGTAAAAGTGGTATTTAATTTATATTAAGCTTTAAAAATCAATGTAACAACTTATTTTTTTCACATAACTTCAGTATTTAAAAACATTATCCTTTTTCAAAGCTATTAAGTTAATATGCTCTTGGAAAAGCTTAAAGCAGAATGTGTATTATGGTAGCTTTCTCTTACCCTAACCGAAGTACTTTTTTCTTTAGGGATAAGCAGTTTTGTTCCTTACACTTTTAAAAAATTTATGTATATTATTATTTTTGTCTTTATTATACACATAAAAACATGTACTGTAAATGAGATTTTATAGCTATATTCTTCAAATACTAAAAGTAGACAAGAACCTTCCCTCAAAGCCAACAAGTGAAAAACCTACCCACGCACCTCTGGGATTACAGTACAGCTTCTTGCCACCAGAGCTCCCTATAAATCTGTTTTTAAAGTTACCTATCTGTGCTATTTCTGTCATAACAGCAGTTGTTGTTAATTGTCAAGTCGAGCACGACTCATGGCAACCCTATGAACAAAAGGCCTGAAGCCTTTCTATAACTATCATTTATCAAAGTTCATAGTTTCCAGAGGCATGTTGTTTAGAAGTGGATACCCCTCCTGCTTCCAATAGCAGCAGTAGGGAATTAAAGCTGCAGACTTCCTCTCCTTTAAGATCCTCTTGCTGTTGGTTAAGTTCATCAACATACTCATCCCAACAGAAATTTGTCCTTCTCACACCTGCAGCACCCACAGTGACTTCTGTCCACATACTCTGATAAAGCAGGGTGGGTGGAGATAGAGAGGAAATGGTATGGAATTGAGACCCAAACCAATTCTCTTGTTATGTGACTAGGGGCAACTCCATTCAAGTAGGAATGGAAAGAATGGGTGGGGATTCAATTAGGAATGTGAAGTCTTTGCCTGATGGAAGAACTGACATTCCTTGAAGCACCAGTGCTACACTGACTATTGCCGTTGTTAGGGGCCATCCAGTTGAGTATGGTCTATAGTGATCTTATGAATAACAGATCTGAACCCTGCCCTATACTATATCATTCTCACAATCTCTTACATACTCGAACCCATTGCTGCAGTTACCATGTCAATCCACTTGGTTGAGGGTCTTCCTCTACTTCACTGTCCCTCTACCTCTCCAAGCACGATGTCCCTCTGCAAGAAAATAGCCCCTCCTAACAACATGCCCAAAGCATATGAGACAGAGCTTTATCATCTTTGCCTCCAAGGAGCGCTCAGGCTGCACCTTCTCCAAAATGTATCTTTAAAGTGGACAAGGAGTCAATTTTCAATTTTTTTAATTGGGAAACCAATGTAACAAACCTAAATTTATTGAAAATTAAATCAGTAACTAAGATCCGGCAGGACCAAGGTCTATTTGACTGACTCCAGTTCCTTTAGCCCCTCAAAATGACAAAAGCACGTGACAAAACGGGGTCAAGCTCTGGGTCACCTTCCCACATTGCCACCCCCTCCACCCTACCCTTAATTAACACACAGACCATGGATCAGTAAGCTGGATCTGAGCAAAGGAGAGAGTGGTGAGGTTCCCAGGGTGGCAGAAAAATCATAGCCCCAGCACAACTTGCTCAAAAACCCATTAGGAGAACCCCAGTTAGCAAAGACACAAGGAAGACTGCCCTCCCCCACCCTCCAACCCCAGACAGTAGGCCCACATCCCTGATCAGTAACACTGTGATTCTGAGGTGTCAGTGGGACTCCAAGGGGCATCACCCACCCATAGGTGATTACTGCAAAAAGCCCAGAGTCCAGCGAAGGAGGTAGGCATTTGACCCACCACCTGCTACATTATTAGCCAGCTGAGCCGTGCTCGCCTTTCGAGAGCATTCAGGGCTGGGAATAGTCCAGGAGGTCCTTTCTCCCCTAGCCTGGAAGGAAGGATGACTTGTAGGGTCTGGGATGGTTACACAAGCTTCTTGGCTTCAAAGAAACTCTTGAGGTGCCGCATTTGCCAGACTCCAATGGCCACGAGGATGAGGGTCTGCAGGATAGACCACCAGAGCACCCGCTGGTTGGTGCTCTCACTGGTCTGCCGGAAGCGTTCCTCCCGCCACTGCAGGAGAGGAAATAGAAAAGGAACCTGAGTGGGCTGGTCACTCCCCAAGGCTGCTAAAACTGCTGATCTCCCACTCCTATGTTAAGGGCTGGGTAGCTCTGCCCAGTTCCAGCCAAGTGCCTGAAAAGAGCTACATCGCCTGGGCACTGTCAGGTATCACCTGGGTTCTGTCTTCACCCCTACGAGCCAGATGACTGCAGGAAGCACACACTCATTTCTCTTAAGTCTGTTCGTGTCAGTGAGGTTTCACCTAATTCTGGCCCTGGTCTCTGGGGAAGAGTACTCGGGTTGTTGTTTTAGTTATGTACCATCGAGTCACCTGCAACTCATAGCGACCCTATGTACAAGAGCTCTAAACGCTGTTCTATCCTGTGCCAACCTAGCCATCTCAAACACACTCATTCCCACCACTCCAATCACAGAATCGATCCATCTCATCGAAGATCTTCCTCTCCTTAGCCGCCCCTCCACTCTGTCAAAAATGATGTCCCTCTCCAAGGACCTCTCCCTCCTTGCAACATGCCCAAAGTATGTCAGACGAAGCTTCAGAATCCTACACCCAGGACAATGCTGTCCTGAAGAACTCAGGAGTGGACATGCTCTAAACTATCTAATCTCCAACCAGCACCCTGAAGATGCAGGAGCTGGCTTCAAATTGGTAGCCTGAGGGCTGCTAGGTCTGTTCTATACCTGCATTTTGTTGGGCTCACACAGTTCTCAAATGTCAATGAAATATCAACATTTAAAACCTGGAACCCAAGCCCTTCTCGATAAACTGACAACTCGGGCTGGCATTTCTGCAAGGGACACCACAATTGGAAGTGAATTCCCATTTAAATAAGTCACAATCCTATTGGCCATAAGATCTAAATTTAGTTGGCTCTTAGACACAAGTGAATTTTGATTCCTGGCCATGAGAACAGCTGGAACAAGGAGAATAGCCTCTAAATGTACTGATATCAATCTTTACTCTGTCACTCACTATGTGATTTAAGGTGATGACAACTTCTTAGAAGTATGTAACAAACAACAAAGTGGAGTTAATAATGTCCACCCCATCTCCTAGTATGGCAATGAACTGGTAAAGATGCACGGGAAGTCCTCTGGGAACTTCACCATTATCTTTTAGGTGAGCTAGTGGTAGCACTGTGGAAGAAGCCCACCGCTCTTGGCCCAATACTTACCCGCTGGTAATTCTGTTCTTTTTGGATCTGCTCCACTTGTTCTACCAACTGTCTCACTCTCAGTTGCAATTCACTCAGTTTGTCTTTGGCAGCAATTTCTGCATAATCATTGGCGTGTTCACCTACCTGGATGTCTAGGTGAACTCTCTGAGGATAAACAAGAGAAACAAGGGGACTCAGATATGTTCCATTCTCCTTCTATCAGCTGACTGTCCATCTTCTTCTCTTTGTTCATTTAACTAACATAGACTGTGGTCTCCTAGAGTCCAGCCCTGTGGGGGCTCTGGACACATAGGCAAGAACAATAAACCTTGGTTAATGCGCTGGCTGAGGAATAGAAAATAAGCTCAGAAAGTGTATTCTTCGTGACCACTGGAAATCCAGTCTTCTTGGAAGACACGAAATCCCACATACTCATCTGACACCCACAGTACCACCAGTCCCAGTCTTGCCAGAGTGAGTGACTGAGAACTGTTAGTCCCACATGGTCTGCTTACCAGCATGCCTCCAGCAAACAGGGAGAACTTGGTGGAATTTGAGTGGAGACAGATCTGGTGCTCACCGGGAGTATGGGAGGTGAAAGTGAATCTGCCTTCGGAGCCATATTGTCGGGCCAGAATGACCTGGAGAAAGGGAGGTTATTTCAGTACGTGATAGAGTTGGATGGGAGTTGGAAGTAAACAGTTCTTAAGGCCCTTGGTGCCATAAAGGTTTACAAACTGGCTTTCGGAATCTCATAAGACTAAAAGTTCTAAAGTTACTTAGCAGTAGTTGTCAAATGCTTGTTTGGGAATTACTGGGGTCTGAGAAGATATCAAAGGGCAGCTTGAGCAGACAAAGCATAGTATAACAAAATGTACAAAGACTTAGAGTTAGAAAATAAAAAGAGAAGAACTTGTTCAGCATTTCTCAAGCTGAAAGATCTGAAAAGCAAATTCAAGCCTGAGTTACAATACTGAAGAATGCTATGGGCTAAGTCTTTAATGGCAGCATCAAAAAGAATACACACACACACACACACACACACACACACACACACACAGTCGCTATACCAAAAAGAACTGGCTGACAAGGAATCATTTCAGGAAGTAGTATATGATCAAGAAGCAATGGTAATGGAGGAAGAAGTTCAAACTGCACTGAAGGCACTGTCAAAAAATAAGACCCCAGGAACTGATATAATAACAATAAACATGTTTCAACAAAAAGATGCAGCCTTAGATGTGCTCACCAGGCTGTGTCTGGAAATTTAGAAGGTAGCTACCTGGTCAACTGACTGAAAGAGATCAGTTTGCTCTCATTTCCAAAAAAGGTGACCCAGCAGAATGTAGAAATTATCAAATAATATTATTAAGATAACATACAAGTAAAACCTTCCTGAAGACTATCCAAAAACTGCTAAAGAAGTACATCAATACGACTGCCAGAAACCCACACTAGATTTAGTTGTGGCACCAGGATACATCACTGCTGATAACAGATGGCTCTTGGCTGAAAGGAGAGAATAAAAGAAGGATGTCTACCGGTGTTTTACTGACTACGCAAAGGCATTTGACTATGTGGATCATAACAAACTACAGGTTATAATAATAAGAATGAGAATCCCATTAACACGCAATTGTGCTCATGTGAAATCTATACCTAGACCAAGAAGCTGTTATTTGAACAGAGTTAGGGAACATAGGAAAACGTGTCAACTAAAGAAAGATATGTGTCAGGGCTGTTATCTTTTTTCAATACCTATTCAATCTGTGTGCTGAGCAAATCATTCAAGAATCTAGACTTAAATTAAAAAAAAGAGCAAGTCAGACTTCATGATGAAGCATATTTGCTCTTGCTACAGAAACATTTGCTGCAGAAGATCAAAGCCTACACCCTTCAATATGGATTACAACACAACATCAAGAAAACAAAATCATTACAAGGCCATTAAGCAACAACATTATAGATGGAGAAAAGACTGAAATTATCAACGATTTCCACAATCAACATCCTTAGTATTTGCAGTCAAGAAATCAAAAGACTTATCACCTTGGGAAAGCCAGCTGTCAAGGATTTTTCCAAAGAACTGAAAAGCAATAATGTCATTTAAAAAACTAAGATCTAGGTCATAGCCTTTTTAATTACTTGCTATGTATTTGAAAGTTGGCAAGGAGTAAGGATGATGAAAGACTTGAGTTGTGATGTTTGAGGAGAGTACTGAATATCCCAGGGACATCCAGAGGTCTTGGAGAAATCCTAAATGTCCTGGAGAAAGTGCAGCTACAGTACTCCTTAGAGGCAAGGATGGTGAAACCGTCTCACATATGCTGTTAGGAGGGACCAGTCCTTGCTTGGAAAAAGACATTATGCTTAGAAAGGTGGAGCACCAACAAAAGAGAGGAAGACTCACAACAAGATAAATTGACATAGGGACTATAAACAAATAGCTCAAATAACTCAGAGATGGTAAGGTTGGCACAGGATAAAGCAGGGTTCAGATCTGCTGTTCATAGGGTCACTGTGAGTTGTTCTCGACTCTGTGGCACCTAACAATAGCAACTGGTGGCCTGGTGGGTAAGGAATTGAACTGCCAAGTCAGGCAGGTCATTCAAATCCACCAGCTTCACAGGAGAAAGATGGTCAATCTCTTCTAGCGCTATTTACAGCCTCTGAAAACCAGCTTGGGGGGGTCAACTATGAGTCTGTTCCATCTGGACAGCAATGAGTTGTTTGAGTGGGCATGCTGGTACTGGGTGGAGGAGGGCAACTGATATCTTTTGGGAAAGTCTTCTCTTTGGTGTGTTAACTATCTTTCTTTTAAATTAAAAATGACAACACCAAGCACAACCCTACCTATCAAAAGGAAAGGTTCATTCTTTTCGGAAAGTATCCCTTTTTTAAAAATTTCAAAGTCGATGTATCATAAGCTTTACAACCATAAAAAATGTACAATTAGATGGGAGAGGTGGGGGGGGAGGGTGAAGGAAATTAGAAGAATCTGTTCTGGAAAACAATGTATTCAAATTTGGAAATAAACCAGAATAATTTAAAAACAGTGTTTCAATTTCCACTACTGCAGTTCTATCTATTAACACACCTATGCTGTTGTTAGGTGCCAATGAGTGGGCTAGAACTCATAACTCCACGACCAATAGGCTGGAGCCTTGTCCTAGCCTGCACCACCCTCCCCATCTCTCAGGGAGTTGTATTCACACTTTACAAACCAAGATCAGCAGCTAACACAGTAGCAGCCCAAGCTGGGCCTGGAATGGAAATGTGGGATCTTTCCTAGCACGGCAACGGTCTTTTTTCCTGTTTCGCAGACGCGGAAATTAGGCGGGGCAGTCCTCGCGGGCCGCGCGCTGACACGCCACCGGGTAGGATGCGCTCACCTTGTCCTCGGGGTCCTTGACTTCCACGAACATGCCAAGTCCGGGGGTGGCCGGCTGGTATTCCTCGCGCTGCTTGTCATACAACTGTGTCCGATAGTTTCCTGGAGGCAAGTGGGGAGAACCCTGATCAGAAGAGCACAAAGTGGCTCTGGACCGCGATCACCAGAACATTGGGCAGCTCCTCCCAGCTCTCGAGGCCAGACTTCTCCCAGCAGACCACCGTCTCCATGCAAACCTCCTCCATCCCCACCACTCCCCACCCGCGTACCTATGACCATCGTCTCATCCGGAATCTCCTCAATAAAGCATTTCTTTTCCGTTTCCCCGATGTGGAAGTAAAGCGCGCTGCTGCGGCCTGCAAAATACAGAAGGAGCAGGAAGGCTCTCACCACCTTGCCCATTCCGAATCCAGGCACAGAACCGACGACCTCCACGCGCCGCTCGACAGCCATCTTGCCCCACCTGCCCGAGCAGCCGCAGTGGCCGCGCCACGTAGCTCTCAGCCGCCGCGAGGCCTGCCGGGGCCGCAAGAGGGAACCAGCGGACTACAAATCCCGAGATACACCGCGGCCCCGGGAATGCCTCAGGGGGGCGTGCGGGGGCTCTAAAATCGCAACATTGTTTCCCCCAGTCCTTCGGCGCGACCTGGCGGGTGGCTTTTTACAGATGAAACGAAAGCAATTTCTTTGAGATTACAGAGTGAATTTCGATCAGAGTAATAATTCGAACCTAGAGATCGATATTTGTTCCTATCCCAAAGAAAGGCGACCCAACCGAATGTGGAAACTACAGAACAATTTCACTGATTTCACATGCAAGCAAGATTCTACAGAAGATTATCCAAAAACGACTGGA